ATAATTGAGCAGGATGTAGAGCTGTTGGAACCTTTCGTGGATGAAGCCTGGATCTCCAACCAGTTGAGCGTTCTTGTTGAAGAAGTCGTCGATAGTTTGATTATAGTTGAGTCCGAAAGATGACACCCAGGAGATCCAATCATCGGTCATATGGCGAACAATAGGGAAGCAAATCTCGTCGGCATTTGGTACAATATACCATTGCAATGCGAAGGTTGAAACGACAAAGCCACCACCATTGGTAGAGACATCAAATAGTATTCGAGTCACATCGTTCTCCCGAGCGAAGTCTTGAACTTCGGAAAAGTTTTCGTACAGAACGACCGGCAGTGAAAAAGTGCCACCACCGGGAACGAAGTCCGGTACGCTCACCACCACAGTGTCGTCCAGTAATGAATATTGGTAGCCGGTTCCAGAGATCCACCTCGCTTCCCCTTCCGAAGTTTTCGACGAGAAGAGAGCAGCATTACCATCATCATACACATTACGACTACTATCCGCTCGAGCCACAATGTCGTCCAAGCCAGCATAACCGTAGTCTTGATTCGACGACCCATCAGCAAAGTTCCATAGAGTGCTGGCATTCTTCTGGTAAAACTCGGTCTCGAACGCCACCGTTTTTTCGAATAGTGGATTCCTATTGGTTAGGGCATTGTAGAAGCGCGCGGTAATGGCGTCATCTCCCACGTACTTGGTATAGTCGCTCAACCGCCCGAGCCAGTTTATCTCCTCGGTGGATCCGTCATCGAATGTGACACTCAGTGGTCCTGTTGGTGGCTGGAATTGTAGCAAATTCCTGTCGACGACAGACTTAACGAAGAAATGGTTATTGAGTCTCTGGAGAAGACCCTGGTAGATCCCCAAGTAAGGTCCACTCTCGGATACCGCATCCTGCATCCATTGGAGGACAGGCTTGCCGTCAACTTCAACAATGACATCACCTTCCTTATGGGCAGTTACAGGTTTACCATAGACGGCAGGTAATACATCTCGTTGAGATTCGGGAAGCCGAGAGTTACGACCTGGCTCCGTCACGCATACGCGAATCGAAGCGAATTGGA